ATTGTTGGCTCATGTTTAACTTGTTGTCCACGAGGACTCCAAGATCTTTTTCACACGTACTGCTCTCAAGTTTGATACATGTGATATACACTTGTCGAATGAACACAATTTGACAGCACTGAAAATGTCATAGTTCAATGCGATATAATCATGGGAATTGTGGTTCGGTGAAGCGCCCACACTCATTGGCAGAGAGGGCTCAAGACCTTGTAAAACTGCATCTCTATTATTATTATTATTATTATTATTATTATTATTATTATTACTATTATTTGTTGCTAGGGCTAGACATTTAGTAAACATTTGCTCTTCCCTTGCTTTGAGGTTCTCAATTTGTTCATTGCGCTACTACTGAACTCCTTCAGCGCTGACAATCTCACTCAACTCCCTGAAGACGACAGAGAGACGAACAACCTCAAGATCGCCTGTGCTCGAATCCACCGGGGGCTTCATGGAGCAAAACAGTGGATGTTGGCTTTCTGTTTCAAAGCCTTTGGCTACAAGAAAAAAGCAGCTCAAAAGAAAATAAAATGTGACACTGAGAAAAACGGGCTGGAGCTTACAAAGGACGGACTTCATTCCAAAGAAAAATATAGTAATGGAGGGAATGAGAAGATTGGAGAAAGATACTCAGTGAATAATATCCTGGATGATTACATTAGCAATCCCAGTGTGTTTGTCTCCGTTCCCATTGCTCATGGGGAGTCAGACAGTGACGGTTCTGAAGATGCTGCTGATAAGCAAGATACAGTCATGGAGACAAATCATACCAAGCAGGTACGAAACTATCCTGAGATCATAGTTCATGTCTAAGGAAAGACTAGCAAATGTACGCACCAAAGTAGGCAATGATAATATCCAAATCAGTTCTTGATACTCTGTCCCTGTTTTGTCACATTGTAATATGACAGAACCAGAGATGGAAAGTGACAGATACAGAAAGCTGGTTGAGGTTCCACCATAAGTATAGTTTATTCGATGCTTAGACCATAGGTCTTTCACATACAAGGCAAGGCAAATAAATAAATACATGAACACCAGATTATTAAATACAATATAAAACACACAATAAAATCCTATAAATCATTAAAATGCTACATATATCGATGGCAAGATGCACCTTTAAAATACTACATAATGTGTAGACTCATACCTGCGTAATTAAAAACCAAGTAAAAGCAAATAGATACAGCATTATTAAAACTACATAAACAGCCACTTTTAGTTGAAAGCATCCCCAGCACAGTCAACTGCAATATCAGAGATTAGTTTTGCCCGGATTTTCTGTGCTGCCAGGGCAAAAAGAGACACCTTGTGAGTAACCACGAGGTTAGTGTCAGCCAAGAGGTAGAAAATCTTTTCGGACACAGTGTTGGTCTGAAAGGAGGTGGAGAATAAACCCAAGTATTTTGGTTCTTGGATCAGAATACAAAGGGCAGAAAAGCAAATAGTGGGGCAGATCCTCAATTTCCGGGGCCCTGCAAACACATAAACGAAGAGCCAGAGGGGTGCCCGTATATCTGCCATCAATCACTGCTGTGGGCATACTTTGAAAACGAAGGGCAGTGAAGGCTTGTCTAAATTTTGGAAATGTGAGGCTAGTCAGGTAGATAGCCCTATCATTGTCAAGTTTGTACATTCTAAACCAGTGGGAGAATTTGGAGTTATTAATGGCCTGCCTATCATGGTGGGCACAATTATTAAAAATACATTCCTGGAGTTTCTCCCTTGAGTTCAAGATAGAAGGCTTATCAGACAGAGTGGGGTGAAATTCCAGCAGCTTCTGGTATCTAGTGTTCCAGTCTTTGCATTTTGCTAGTTGTTCAAAACATCCCTTGGGAAGAACCCTAACTGAGGAGTCTTTTACATTTACCATAAGTATATATTTCATTTCTTCTTCAAGAAAGTGAGCAGTTGTTTCTCTGGATCCTTCAATGCCATTGTATTCAATTTGTTTTCTCCCAGATGGGCCATATTTCCCAGCACTGCCTGTCAAATCTTCCACATCTACCCATGGGATTTTGGTGATAAACTTGTACTCATAGTGCTACATCTAATGCAGTGTTTCTCAACCTTCTTCATGCCGCAACCTCTTAATACAGTTCCTCATGTTGTGGTGACCCCCAACCATAAAATTATTTGTGATGCTACTTCATAACTGTAATTTTGCTACTGTTATGAATCGTAATATAAATATCTGATATGCAGGATGTATTTGCATTCACTGGGCCAAATTTGGCACAAATACCCAACACAACTAAATTGGAATACTGGTGAGGTTAGAGGGGGATTGATTTTGTCATTTGGGAGTTCTAGTTGCTGGGATTTATAGTTAACCTACAATCAAAGAGCATTCTGAACTCCACCAACGATAGAATTGAACCAAACTTGGACCATAGAACTCCCATGACCAATAGAAAGGGTTTGATGGGTGGGAGGGGATTGATTTTGTCATTTGGGAGTTCTAGTTGCTGGGATTTATAGTTGACCTACAATCAAAGAGCATTCTGAACTCCGCCAACAATGGAACTGAACCAAATTTGGATTCCCATAACTAACAGAAAATACTGGGTTTGATAGAGATTGACCTTGAGTTTTGGAGTTGTAGTTCACCTATATCCAGAGAGGACTGTGGGCTCAAACAATGATGGACCTGGATCAAACTTGGCACGAATACTCAATATGCCCAAATGTGAACATTGGTGGAATTTGTAGAAAATAGGCCTTGACATTTGGAAGTTGTAGTTGCTGGCTCAGTTCTATCATTGTGAACTCCACCAATGATAGAATTGGGCAAAACTCCCCACACTGAATCCTCCTGCCTTGAAGGGATTTGCTAATGTGTTCCTCTCTCCAGTCTCACATGCTCTCCCTCTCCTGCACATGCGCACTACGCTGCCATGCGCTGAGCATATCCACTCTCCCCTGCCCTCTTGAAGTCTCAGAAATAGTCCTCCCCTTGGCTGAGAGGCCAGCCACTCACAGTAGAGGAGGGCTTTTGATGGGAGGATTCGCCATCTGTTTCCAAAAAGGAAGAGAAGGACAGGTGAAGAGATCTTCAGCCTTCTCTGCCAAATGGGTTCCTAAGACCATAAGAAATATATGTTTTCTGATGGTCTTTGGCAACCCCTCTGAAACCCCCTCATGACCTCCCAGGGGTCCCGACCCCAAGTTGAGAAATTCTGCTCTATCTTATGAATATCTGAATATTTCAATCTGTGGACAAATACCAGCTTGGTGGAGGGGATCATGAAAAAAATGCCCCATAGAGCAAGGGTTAAATTCCTCTTCAACTTCTGCTATTGTGCTAACTAGAATCTATACACTGCAGCTTTTACTAACTGCTTTAACTCATAACAATACTCATATACTTTCCTTCCTCCTTTTAGCTTAAAGAGTTTTAAAATCTCAGTGATTAAAAAATCATGTCATTCAGAGGAAATGTTCTGAAGTACAAGCTGTTATGACTTACCTTTAGCAGGAAAACCAGTTGCGACTGAGAGGAGAGCGAATGAAGAACTCGGATGCCTGGAGCCGAACCTCTGAAATCAGTTCTCCTGGCGAGTTAAGTATACAGTGGAAAGCTGGATCATCATCATCGAAATTAAAAGAGGTACAGTAAATGTCATGCTCTGGTATAAGAAAAGAACATTGCTGTTAACAATTCAGATTAAATATATTCTGGGTTGTTGTAGATTTTTTCGGGCTATATGGCCATGTTCTAGAGATATTCTCCCCTGACGTTTCGCCTACATAGAATCATAGAATCAAAGAGTTGGAAGAGACCTCATAGGCCATCCAGTCCAACCCCCTGCCAAGAAGCAGGAATATTGCATTCAAATCACCCCTGACAGATGGCCATCCAGCCTCTGTTTAAAAGCTTCCAAAGAAGGAGCCTCCACCACACTCCGGGGGCAGAGAGTTCCACTGCTGAATGGCTCTCACAGTCAGGAAGTTCTTCCTCATGTTCAGATGGAATCTCCTCTCTTGTAGTTTGAAGCCATTGTTTCGCGTCCTAGTCTCCAAGGAAGCAGAAAACAAGCTTGCTCCCTCCTCCCTGTGGCTTCCTCTCACATATTTATACATGGCTATCATATCTCCTCTCAGCCTTCTCTTCTTCAGGCTAAACATGCCCAGTTCCCTAAGCCGCTCCTCATAGGTCTTGTTCTCCAGACCCTTGATCATTTTAGTCGCCCTCCTCTGGACACATTCCAGCTTGTCAATATCTCTCTTGAATTGTGGTGCCCAGAATTGGACACAATATTCCAGATGTGGTCTAACCAAAGCAGAATAGAGGGGTAGCATTACTTCCTTAGATCTAGACACTAGGCATGGGTAACAATGGAAAAATTTGTTTCTAAAATCGATTTGTATTTGGGAGGTTTTTTTGTTTCGATATTTAAAATAATTACAAAATTTTCCTTTTAAAAAGTTCGATATTTACGAAATTTCGTAAATGGTAAAAAATTAACGAATCGATTTCCGAAACAATAACGAATCGATTCGTTAATGGCGGACGTGACCGCAAAATACGCTAAAAAACCTCCAAAACCTTCTGAAGCTTCCCTCTCCCTCTGTTGTTGACTGTTGGTGTGATATTATAATTTTTTTTCACTAATTAAACCATAAAACTGGCCCAGACATGCGGAAATAATAACGAAACGACCTCAAAACAATAACGAAACGAATACAATACGAAATACGAAGCATTTACAAAACGTTTTTGAAAATTCGTTTTTTTTAATAATTGCTCCAGAATGGTTCGTTATCGTTTTGTAATTGAAAAAATTAACGAATTATTAACGAATTACGAATTAACGAAACGAAACCGCCCAGCCCTACTAGACACTATGCTCCTATTGATGCAGGCCAAAATCCCATTGGCTTTTTTTGCCACCACATCACATTCTTGGCTCATGTTTAACTTGTTGTCCACGAGGACTCCAAGATCTTTTTCACACGTATGCTCTCGAGCCAGGCATTGTCCCCCATTCTGTATCTTTGCATTTCGTTTTTCCTGCCTAAGTGTCCTCGTGCATTTGTCACTGTTGAACTTAATTGTGTTTGTTTTGGCCAATCATCACTCTAATCTGTCAAGATCGTTTTGAATCCTGCTCCTGTCCTCTGGAGTATTGGCTATCCCTCCCAATTTGGTGTCGTCTGCAAACTTGATGATCCTGCCTTCTATATCTATGGCAAGCATCCTCAGAGGTAGCTCACTACTCCTACCTCTACCTCAGAGATACCTCACTACCTCTGAGGATGCTTGCCATAGATGCAGGCGAAATGTCAGGAGAGAATGCCTCTAGACCATGGCCACATAGCCCGAAAAAACCTACAACAACCCAGTGATTCCGGCCATGAAAGCCTTCGACAATACATTAAATATATTCTGTTCACAAACTCCAGATTCCATTCACAAAATTCCGGGTCTCATCAGATGAGAAAATCATATGATTTTCCCAGTTCTTTTTGTTTTGATTTTATCTGTTTATCTACCAGAGGTTGACTATGGAGTCATGCTAGATATTTATAGAGAGGTGTTCTCTCAAATTTAAAAATTAGTATGTTTAAAATAGTTTTTTTAATAGGCTGACGTCACCAGCTGTTCCGAAGGCAGCACTATAGACATACCGGATCCTGATGAATTCTTGAAGAACATCCCTGAACTAGCTGAAGATTCAAAGGAGCCTGATAATTGTTTCCCAGAGAGTAAGGCACTATATTTATTTATTGTTGGCTGCCTGACATTTCCTTAGAAGTACCGTTCTGCTTTCTCATTGTGAAGTGTGTATTATCTAACATAAGATATTGTGTACATTTACACTGTAGAATTGATGATGATGATGATAGAAAAACAACAGAAAAAACTCAGCCATTATCAAGACCTCAAAATTGAAAAGCAAAGGCTCTAGCATAAACCATTACAGGTGGTCCCCGTTTAGACTACTGCAATGCTCTCTACGTGGGGTTGCCTCTGAAGACTGCCTGGAAGCTGCAGCTAGTCCAACGCTCGGCAGCCAGACTACTAACGGGTGCTGGGTACAGGGAGCACACCACTCCGCTGTTACACCAGCTCCACTGGCTGCCAATTAGCTTCCGAGCACAATTCAAAGTGCTGGTGTCAACCTATAAAGCCCTAAACGACTCCGGCCCTGTTTACCTCTCCGAACGTATTCTCCCCTATGAACCATCAAGATTATTAAGATCGTCTGGAGAGGCCCTGCTCTCGGTCCCACCGGCCTCGCAAGCGCGTCTGGTGGGGACGAGGGACAGGGCCTTCTCGGTGGTGGCCCCTCGACTCTGGAACTCTCTCCCACTGGAGATCAGAACCGCCCCTTCTATCCTGACATTTAGGAAACAGGTGAAGACTTGGTTATGGAGACAGGCATTCGACGAGTGAGCCAACACCCTGAGATATGGATGGAGGATGATGAGCAACGATTTTAGTGTGACAACTGACCATTATAGTTATTGATTGTAATTGCTGTTTTAATGTTTTACTGTAATATGTATTATGATGTTTTATTGATTGTATGTGATATTATGGTTGGAAACCGGTCTGAGTCCCTCAAGAGAGGTGAGAAGGCCGGTATACAAAACTTTTAAATAAATAAATAAATAAATAATCGGCACACTGGGTGCCGTACCAAAAGATCTCAGCCAGCATTTGGAAAAAAATAAACATTGACAAAATCATGATCTGTTAAATGCAAAAGGCCACCTTACTTGGATCTGCATGCATCATTCGAAAATATATAACACAGTCCTAAACGCTTGGAAAGTGTTCGACTTGGGATTTTGTGATACAAAATCCAGCATATAGATCTCGTTTGCTGTGTCAGATTGCATGGGGCGGGGTGTTATCAGTATGCTGATGAGACCCAAAAACAATAATCATAATAATTGTATTTCTTATCTGTCTTTCTTCGTGACTCGACATGGGTTACAGAATAATTAAAACACATAAACATTGCAAAAACACTACTGATACACGTATTAAAATGTATTCCTATAAAAGCTACATATGAAAATGTATTTCTAGAAAATACATATTAAAATACACAACACAGAGATTAAACAAAGGATACACATTTAAAATTCATGCTTAAAGACTGTCTGGGTAGGCTGCTAAAAGAGATAGGTCTTTACATGGGGTTTAAATTCTGACAGCTCATTGAGCAGTCAGAATTCTTCCAGTAGGTCATTCCACAGTGTTGGGGCAGATGATTTTATTTATTTATCGTGTCATCTGCAACCAGAACATTGTATTACATTTCTAACAGAACAAAACAAACAAACAGATAAAAAAAACCCACAAATTTTGCAAACTTGGTAGCTGATTAAATGTCCTTTGACCAGTATCTGGCCACTTGGAGTGCCTCTGGTGTTGCCGCAAGAAGGTCCTCCATTGTGCATGTGGCAGGGCTCAGGGTGCATTGCAGCAGGTGGTCAGTGGTTTGCTCTTCTCCACACTCGCATGTCGTGGATTCCACTTTGTGGCCCCATTTCTTGAGGTTGGCTCTGCATCTCGTGGTGCCAGAGTGCAACTGTTCAGTGCCTTCCAAGTTGCCCAGTCCTCTGTGTGCCCAGGGGGGAGTCTCTCATCTGGTATCACCCACGGATTGAGGTGCTGGGTTTGAGCCTGCCACTTTTGGACTCTCGCTTGCTGAGGTGTTCCAGCGAGTGTCTCTGTAGATCTAAGAAAACTATTTCTTGATTTGAGTCGTTGACGTGCTGGCTGATACCCAAACAAGGGATGAGCTGGAGATGTCTCTGCCTTGGTCCTTTCACTATTGGCTGCTACTTCCTGGCGGATGTCAGGTGGTGCAATACCGGCTAAGCAGTGTAATTTCTCCAGTGGTGTAGGGCGCAGACACCCTGTGATAATGCGGCATGTCTCATTAAGAGCCAAATCCACTGTTTTAGTGTGGTGAGATGTGTTCCACACTGGGCATGTGTACTCAGCAGCAGAGTAGCATAGCGCTAGGGCAGATGTCTTCACTGTGTCTGGTTGTGATCCCCAGGTTGTGCCAGTCAGCTGATGAAAAGGCAGCTGATGAAAAGGTCCTCTGGGTGGTGGTTGCCAATTGGATTCTGGCTGGTTGGAGCAGATACTCCCCAGAAGACTGAAATGTTTGGGGTGGATTGTACATGAGGTGATGCTTTAGGTAACCTGGACCCAAATCATGTAGGCTTTAAAGATCAAAACAAAAACTTTTTACTTTGCCTGGAAACTAATTGGCAGCCAGTAGAGTGACTTTAGGATAGGTGTGATATGCTCAGTCCTAGATGTTCCTGTAACCGATTTGGCTGCTATATTTTGAACCAGCTGGAGTCTTCAAACTTGGTATGAGGATAGCCCAATGTAAAGAGCATTGTAGAAGTCCAACCTTGAAGTTACTAGTGAGTGCACTATCATATTCAGGTCCTTCAAATCTAGGAAGGGGCGCAGCTGGCGTATCATCCAAAGTTGGTAGTAGGTACTCCTGACTGTTGCATCTACCTGAGTTGACATTTGGAGAGATGGATCCAGGAGCCCTTTCCCCCAGCTGCGAACACAGTCTTTCAGGGGGAGTGGGACCCCATCCAGAACTGGTTGACATACCTCCATTCCCAGATTAGGATCCTTGATGGCAAGCACCTCTGTTTTATCTGGATCTACTTTCAATTTTTTTCCTCATCCAGCTTCAGGTATTTATTCAGAGGAGACATGCTATCCTTAGCTGAAGCTGTTTTGGAAGGCATGGAAAAATATATTTGGATGTAATCAGCATACTCACAACACCCCACTCCATGCAATCTGACACCACTTTAACTTGCATGGCTTAATGCTATGGAATCATGGGAGTTGCAATTTTACAAGGTCTTTAGCCTTCTCTGCAAAATAGTGCAGGTGCAAACTACACCTCCCATGATTCCGTAGCACTGAGTGATAGCAGTTAAAGTGGTATCAAACTACATTAATTCACGGTGGAGATGCACCTGTAGCGTGAACCTTCAAGTTTTCCATCTGTTCATGTCAGTATTAATTTGTACAAGGTTTGCACCAGTTCCATAATGTGCACTATTTCTTTTGTGCCTCTTTTTAGGATTGACTCGTCATTATCCCTGGTGTTCAGTCAATACCACAAAGTTTCCAGGCAGAATGTGTTGGAATCTAAGAAAAACGTGTTACCAAATTGTAGAGCACAACTGGTTTGAGAGCTTCATTGTATTCATGATTCTGCTCAGTAGTGGAGCGCTGGTATGTTATGATTCACAAGCATTAAAATGTAGCGCTTAAACACACAAAACAGAACAGAAAAGCAGCAACAAAATATATATTTCTAAATTGCTGTTGTGTTCCAATAATGAAAAATGTGAGCAAACAGAGGAGCATATTTCACTGGATAGGACATTGTGAGCTGGGGGTGTGACCTGCAGTAATTGGGGTGGGGATTTCTTGAATTCACATTTTAATGCAAAGTGATGTAATCTGCATATTTTATAACCACAAATTAAAAGAACAGCACTCACACTTATCCGAATCAGAGAGTAAGAGATTTCACAGAGAAGAGACCCTAAGGGCCATCAGTTCAACACCATTTTGCTATGCAAGAAGATACAATCAAAGCACTTCTGACAGATGTCTATCCAGTTTCTGCTGAAAAACCTCCAAAGAAGGAGACTCCACCAGACTCTGAGGCAGCAGCATATTCCAGTTTCAAACAGCTTTTATCATCAGGATGTTGTTCTTCCTAATGTTTCTATCATGTTGTTTCTATCACCACAGCAGCCAGCCATAGAGCTCTGGAGAGCTCCTGGTGGCATGTTGTTTCTATCACCACTTAGAGCTCTGGAGAGCTCCTGGCCATCTCTGGTCATCTTTACTGATCTCCCTTCTTCTCCTTGGTCATGCATGATGCCCAGTATGGTCAGAAGCTCTCTGTGTTAGAATGCATCCAGCAGTTAGAGATCTTGATTTAAGGAGCAAGCACAACTTGGACAAACGAACTAAGCTTTATTGCAGGAACTCCATTTGAAGGTAGATGAGTTACTAGGATGCTGATCTAACTTAGTTGCATCTTTGATGGTTGAGAGAGGACTCATGGGGAGCACCTTGACCAGAAACAAGAAGTCTGATAAAGGTGACCATCCAGTGGGGCTGGACTGGGTTTGACTGGGTTTGACTGGTGGGGGTCCAGACTGAACAGTCTGGACCCCCACCAGTGGCACAGCTCTGGTTTGGAGCATCTGAATAGCTCTGCAAAATCTGGGATTGGTTTGAAACAGAAATGCTCCAGACCAGATTTTGGTGGTGCATCCAGCAGTTAGAGATCTTGATTTAAGGAGCAAGCACAACTTGGACAAAGGAAATAAGCTTGATTTAAGGAGCAAGCACAACTTGGACAAAGGAAATAAGCTTTATTGCAGGAACTCCATTTGAAGGTAGATGAGTTACTGGGATGCTGATCTAACTTAGTTGCATCTTTGATGGCTGAGAGAGGACTCATGGGAGGAATGAGAGGTGGGGAAATATCCCTAAGAGTATCCGTTTCCATCACAGAAGGTTCAGGATAGGTAGACAGAGAAGGAGGATGCTTCAGGTCATTCAAAGTATCTAATCCTGTTGCCATATTCTTCACGCTTCAGTGTTAAGTATTTCTAAGGCTTTGGAGCACCTTGACCAGAAACAAGAGGTTTGATAAAGGTGACCATCTAGTGGGGCTGAACTGGGTTTGGATTGATTGAACAGCCTGGGCTCCCACCAGTGCCATAGCTCTGGTTTGGAGCATCTGAAGAGCTTTGCAGAATCTGGGACTGGTTGCTCCAGACCAGACCATGATTTTGGTGGAGCAGTAGAGATTATCTGCTAGCAGTTCAATGTCATTCCCCAACTAAGGCACTCTGGAATAAAATAACCACGGGACAAAATGCACAATAAAGACTTAATAAAGACAAAATAACTTTCTGGGTTGTTCTGGTTGATAATGACCCTGCATATCTTTTTTTTAAAAAGGCATTTGAAGATATTTACTTGACTGAGAAACCAAAAGTTAGAATGGTGCTGGAATATGCTGACAAAATCTTCACCTATATCTTTATATTGGAGATGCTGCTGAAATGGGTGGCGTATGGATTCCACAAATATTTCACAAATGCCTGGTGCTGGCTGGATTTCCTAATAGTAGATGTAAGTATGACCTTTGATGACGTTGATGGAATTGGTTTTATAGTCTTCTAAGGCAGCATGACTGAACTGTCAGACAGCCTTGTTTCCTATGCAAAAGTATGGGTCTGCCTAGAAAACATGGGCAGAGATTATGTGTCAATGATTCAATATGGGATAACGAAACCACACAACCTCGATTATCTAAACATTATAAGAAAAAAAATCCCAAAGTCTGTTAGAAACAGCAGCCTTCATCAAGCCTTCACTATTTGTTTGTTATGTCTCGTAATTCAGATTGCTTACTGTATTGTATATGTGTGTATCGGTTTGCAGTTTTCCTTAACTTTTTTGTTGTGAGAGGGGCTGCAGACTATGTCATCAGAACTGGGATTGTTCACAACTCAGACTCCAATTTAGAAACAGTATACCTTTAGACTTCAGTAGGAACTGTATGCTTGGAGACTTCTGTAGAAACAGATGTATGTTTTTAGCAGTCAGTAGGAACAGAATGCTATACAGAAGCCATTAGACCAGGACTCCTCAAACTCTTTAAACAGAGGTCCAGGTCACAGTCCCTCGAACTGTTGGAGGGTTGGATTATAATTTGAAAAAGAATGAATTCCTATGTACACTGCACATATCTTATTTGTAGTGCAAAAAACCCCTTAAAAACAATACAATAATTAAAATGAAGAACAATTTAAACAAATATAAACTAGCATTGGAGCCCCCGGTGGCGCAGTGGGTTAAAGCACTGAGCTGCTGAGCTTGTTGATCGAAAGGTCGCAGGTTCGATTCCAGGGAGCGGCGTGAGCTTCCGCTGTCAGCCCTAGCTTCTGCCAACCTAGCAGTTCGAAAACATGCAAATGTGAGTAGATCAATAGGTACCGCTCCAGCGGGAAGGTAACGGCGCTCCATGCAGTCATGCCGGCCACATGACCTTGGAGGTGTCTACGGACAACTCTGGCTCTTCGGCTTAGAAATGGAGATGAGCACCACACCCCAGAGTCAGACATGACTGGACTTAATGTCAGGGGACTACCTTTACCTTACTAAACTAGCATTTCAATGGGAAGTGTGGGCCTGCTTTTGGCTGATGAGACAGGATTGTTGTTGTTGTTGTTGTTGTTGTTGTTGTGTGCTTTCAAGTCTTTTCAGACTTAGGTTGACCCTGAGTGAGGGCCAGGTAAATGACCCTGGAGGGCCGTATCCAGCCCCCGGGCCTCAGTTTGGGGACCCCTGCATTATTTATTTATTTAGAAGTTTTATATACCGGTCTTCTCACCTCGAAGGAGGGACTCAGGCCGGTTCACAACATGTGTTCATATACAATAATATACAAAACAGCACAATGCATCATCATTATACATTAAAATATCAGTAATAAAAGCATCATCATAGTCATTAGACTTTCTAAGAAAGATGTCCTGTATTGCCTGCACAGAGAATCTAATTCTGTGTAGGTAATTGAATTGATATGCAAAGTACCTGAATGCTGAATACATGAAGTTTGTGAGTAAACCAACTAGGTTATTTTAAAGAAGTCTGCTTATTTTTGTCTCTTGAGAGCATGATTTAAGGGCAAATATATTTTAAGGGAGAGTAGATGTTTTTGGGCAACTAAAAAGAACACTTCTGAAACTCTGCTGAAAATATTTATGTTTTGTGCATTGACATATCTTTTCCCCTAACAGTTCAAAGACATATCTAGGTACATGAGTTTAACAGCTGAAAACCTGATTGCTTTCCATGGGTGCCATTTTCTCAAAATGTTATGGCATCATTTTTCCAAAGAATTATGACCTCTAACAGGGTCATGCCTTTCCAAAAATCATAAAATCTCCAAAAGGTTATGGATGTTTCCATTTTCCAAAAAGGCAGTAGACAAGATAGCTGTTGCAAAACACTTCCAATCTTAGTTGTCTGCAATAAACTTAAATGGATCAATATTCTTGACTATGAAAAGCAAAGTTTAAAAAGTGACTTATGAGAAAAATGAATACAATGCCCTGTTGAGCCCATCCATAACTGAACAAAGGTAGGATAATGTTCTAGATTCTGGAGCTTTATTCTGCAACTTCTCAATTATGAATGGCTTCAATACATTATTATATTGATCCTTCCTAAGCCTCATAACTTTAAGATAGCAGCTGGATCACTGTTGCAGTTTAGTCTTCCAGCAAAGTACTTCGTGTCTCGTGACTTTGTAATATTCTTGGTCTGGAATAAGATGTTTTTTCCAGGTTGTAATGCTTACTAAAGAAACTTTTCTCCAGAAGGTACATTTCTGACTTGAAATGTATAACGTGATTCTGTACATGCGTAATCAGCATTTAGCCGACCAGGTGTCCAGAGCTAGTTTATCTGCAGACGCACGTAGAAAACATTTGAAATGCTAAACCTCTTACTCATGCTGGAACTCTTGTGAATTGCCATGAATTATATTCACAATCCTGCTGATGAGGTGTACTTTTATTTGGAAAGCAGCATCTCTATTTGGGTCAGTTGTCTTCATTACTTCTTGCTCAGGTTTTATGTGTTTCCCATTTCGCATCCATATGTAAAACTACAGAAAAGTTTTCCTTGAGCTTTGTTATGTGTAACTTATAAGTAACATTTCTCATGGACTATATTTCTTAAGGAGCAATACATTCTGATGCAGATGAGCGGCTCCATCATTGAAAAATTAATGCCACAAACCTTGTGCAAAAATATTTTGAACTGCCGAACCCCCCCCCCCCCCCCCCCCTCCAAATGTGCAAACTATTTGCTTGGGCAGTGGTGACATATTTGGAGTAGCTTTGGGTTTTAGTCCAGGAAATATCTGAGTAGCTGAACCCTATCCAAAATAGTTTAAGCCCCTTGGATGGCTCTTGTGAAATTCAGATTAATTGCCTTACTAACGTCAGACCAGCTGATGGTATATTGTGTGAAAGGAAGGGGATGTTGGAGATCAGCCTGAAGCTCCTGAGACTGATGGGTTCAGTGATGATTCAGAGAGGATTGTGGGAATGTCTGTGGGATTTCCTGGGGCTCGAAGTGATGAAGATTCAAGTCAGGGGAATGATTTTTATCTCTGTGAGAAATATGACTTGGAAAGTTCAGGGCAAGGTCAGTCAGAGGAGCCAGAAACGGCAACATTAGATAAGGAGTCGGGTGATGAGATAAGTGATACAGAAGGCTCTCAGGAGTAAAGAGTTGGAGCTATGGAGAAGAGATCAACAAAAATCTTCATTTACAGATCAGAGCAGATAATAGGCATTGTGGGTCAGAGCAAGTGTGTGGGAAAGTTGGGGAGAGAATTCATGGGAAAAGACACGACTTCATGGCACACTTGCATTTTTCGACTTTCCCTCAGCTCTACTTAGGAATTCATTGCACTACTTGAGCCTAGACCCATCTTGATTCTGTTTTTTCCCCAGCCATGATATTGTTTTAGTTTTATTGTTGTTGTGACTGTATTATGTGTTATTTGATTGATTTTAATGCTGCTGTTTTTATCTGTGATTCTTGGGCTTGTCCCCATGTAAGCTGCCCCGAGTCCCCTTGGGGAGATGGTGGTGGGGTATAAAATTATTATTATTACTAGCCGTCCCCTGCCACACGTTGCTGTGGTTCACATGGGGGTTCTGTGTGGGAGGTTTGGCCCAATTCTATCGTTGGTGGGGTTCAGAATGCTCTTTGACTGTAGGTGAACTATAAATCCCAGGAACTACAACTCCAAAATGTGAAGATTCTATTTTCCCCAAATTCTATCAGTGTTCACATTTGGGCATACTGAGTATTTGTGTAGAGTTTGGTCCAGATCCATAATTGTTTGAGTCCACAGCGATCTCTGGATATAGGTGAACTACAACTCCAAAACCAAAGGACACTGCCCACCAAACCCTTCCAGTGTTTTCTGTTGGTAATGGAAGAACGGTGTGCCAAGTTTGCTTGAATTCCATCATTGGTGGGGTTCAGAATGCTCTTTGATTGTAGGTGAACTATAAATCCCAGCAAGTACAACTCCCAAATGATAAAATCAAAATTTTTTGAGTGAAGGACATACATTGGGTTGTTAGGTGTCTTGTGTCCAAATTTAATGTCAATTCGTCCAGTGGTTTTTGAGTTCTGTTAATCCCACAAATGAACATTACATTTTTATTTATATAGATGATGATGATGATGATGATGATTGGTATCTATTAATTAGCAAGTTGTTTACCAATAATAATAATAATAATAATAATAATAATAATAATAATAATAATAATAACAACAACTTTATTTATACCCCGCCACCATCTCCCCAAGGGACTTGGAGCGCCTTACATGAGGCCAAGCCCACCTAAGATTTAGTTCAGGCAACATAGCGTTCAAGTGAGAAGCTAGGCCTGTATTCTCTGGTTCTTGTTTCAAGTGAAATCTTGATTTTGGATTTAAGTATTCTGAGAGTTTCTATGTTCCTGTTTTTGGGGTTCCTGTTCAAATTTTACTAGGTATACCTTTTGCTTGTGCACTTAAGCTGTTCTTGTGACATTGGGCTATTCTTGGACTGTATTACTTTTGAATCTGTAGGAGACATTTGTATTCCTGTTGGATTATCACCTATTGCTAAGCCTTTTTGGATTATACACCTACTTTCCTTATTCCTGATTTCTTTCCTATATTTTTAACATGTTTCCACAATAAACTATTTGCTTATATTCTGGACTCTTGTGTAGTGCTGGGATCATAGGTGTTCCCAGGCCTGGAGTGCAACAGGGAAGTGATATGTAATAATTTAATTATGTGAACTTTTATATTTATTTTTTCCTGTTCTTTCTCCAGGTCTCTTTAGTAACACTCATAGCAAATCTGGCTGGGAAGTCTGAGATAGGTCCCATGAAATCTCTCCGGACCCTGAGAGCTTTGAGACCATTAAGAGCCTTGTCACGATTTGAAGGGATGAGGGTAAGATAAAAGCAAGCCAGCACTGAGCATTAGCCATATAATAGGACATTGATTTATAAGATGGTCCTTTTGAAAGTTTCTAGGATGAGGATGGCAGGGTGTCATAAATGATGTTTGGGGACAGGGGCAGTGATTCCAGAAGGTAAACCAGAATCTGTCTGTCTGTTTGTCCATCTGTCCATCCATCCATGAGTCCGAGAAGACTGGGCAAGTGTTTGTAAGGCTTTTTAGTATTAACTTAATACATTTGTTTAATTTATATTATACCTTTCTCCCAGTATGAGAGTCACAGAGATCTCAAGTAAAGGGTATGGCATCATCAGTGGTATGGGACCTCTCTGGAGTGGGATGTGAAGATTCAAGATGCATAAACTAATGCAGATCCATTGAAATCAAGTCTTGATTAAGGGTGCATCCTCACTGTCTAATTAATACAGTTTGACACCACTTTAACTGCCATGGTTCAATGCTATGGAATCCCAGGAGTTGTAGCTTTACAAGACTTTTAGTTTTTCCCTGCCAAAGAGTGCTGGTGTCTTGCCACGGTGGCACAATGGATTAAACCGCTGAGCTGCTGAACTTGCTGACCAGAAGGTTGGCAGTTAGAATCCAAAGGACATGGTGAGCTCCCGCTGTTAGCCCCAGCTAACCAGCTGCTAGGAATTGTGGGAATCGAAGTCCAAAACACTTGAAGGACTGAAGTTTGCCTGTGCCTGATATACAGATTTCATCCATTGGACTGCCCATGATGCATCAATTATAATCACTCCCCCTGAAGACGCAGGTTCGCAGCTTGGGTGTGATCTTGGACTCATCGCTGAGCATGGAACCTCAGGTTTCAGCAGTGACCAGGGGAGCATTCGCACAGTTAAAACTTGTGCGCCAGCTGCGCCCATATCTTGGGAAGTCTGACTTGGCCATGGTAGTCCATGCCCTGGTTACATCCCGTATAGACTACTGCAACACTCTCTACATGGAGTTGCCTCTGAAGACTGCTTGGAAGCTTCAAATGGTCCAATGCTCGGCAGCCAGGATGCTAACAGGAGCGGCACTCAGGGAGCATACTACTCCTCTGTTGCGCCAGCTCCATTGGCTGCCAATTTGCTACCGGGCACAATTCAAAGTGCTGGCTTTAGCCTATAAAGCCCTAAATGGTTCTGGCCCGACTTACCTGTCCGAACGCATCTCCTCCTATGAACCAGTTAGGACATTAAGATCATCTGGGGAGGCTCTCGGTCCCGTCGGCATCACAAGCATGCCTGGCGGGGATGAGAGATAGGGCCTTCTCAGTGGTGGCCCCTCGGCTGTGGAACACCCTTCCTACAGACATCAGATCCGCCCCCTCCTTATTGGCATTTCAGAGGAAAGTGAAGACCTGGCTGTTCGAACAGGCATTCGATTAGGCAGTGTAATTGATTATAGGAACACGGAATAACGGATGATGAGACTGGATTCTGATTCTATTGATGAGACGTAAATGATTTGTCAGATTGATGTTTAATTGTTGTTATGCTATTGCTTTTAAATGTTTCAATGATTTTGTAATGTTTGTATTGAAATTGTTGTGGTTAACAACTTTAAGTCGCCCAAGGGCTGAGAAAAGCGGTATATAAATGAAGTAAATAAACAAATTAATTAGTAAATAGATGTTGCCTTCTTTTCTTTTCCCTGTTATTTTTCACTCCCTTTGCATTCCAACCCCTATATTTCCCACTCTTTCCAAGGTGGTGGTCAATGCCTTGCTCGGAGCCATTCCTTCCATTATGAACGTCCTTCTTGTCTGCCTCATTTTCTGGCTCATCTTCAGCATTGTGGGCGTCAGCCTCTTTGCTGGAAAGTTTGGGAAATGCGTCAACATGACCGAAGCCAATTCCACCATAAACGACGCACTGATTAAAACGATGACCGATTGCAACAAGAAAAACAATACTCGGTTGTACTGGACAACGGTTAAAGTGAATTTTGACAATGTTGGCTCTGGTTATCTGTCTCTTTTACAAGTGGTAAGTTTGAGAAAGATAAGGCACTTCTATTTTTCCTTTCTGTCACCTTCTTTTTCTTTCCCATCGCTACTGTCACTGTTGCATTATCTAAAAAACCTATACTGTTTGCAGATAGCTAAAAATAGCTATCTAGGATTTATCTACACTTCAGAATTAGTACAGTTTGACACCACTTTAACTGCCATGGCACAGTGTGATGGATTCATCGGAGTTGTAACCAACCCTCTTACTAATAATCGTCCTGTCAAATCTTTTACTCATAAATTATTCCACTTTATTGTTTAAGAGTCACATATTCCCCATGTCATTTATCCAAATTCTTACTTGATCTAAATCAGTTTAAATTTGCTATAGTTTTGGCATATATAGCTGATGAATGGTTTCCATATAAAAGGTAAATGTTTCCCCTTGACATTAAGTCAAGCTGAGTATGGCTTTATGGGGTGGTGCTCATCTCTATTTCTAAGCTGAAGAGCTGGCATTGTCTGTAGACACCTCCTAGGTCATGTGGCCGGCATGATTGCATGGAGTGCAGTTACCTTCATGCCGAAGTGGTATCTATTGATCTACTCACATTTGCATGCTTTCGAACTGCTAGGTTGACAGAAGCTGGGGCTCACAGTGGTAGCTCACCCCACCCCACGGATTCGAACCACCAACCTTCCAGTCAGCATATTCTACACTTGCTGGTTTGCTGGTTTCTGTATAACCTCAAACAAATTCTCTTTTATTTCCCCTCTTTCTCAAGTAAATAAATCTATATGTCTTGTATTCCATTTGACCAGTACTGTATCAATATATTTCCTAACGTGCTCCCCCAGTGGCGCAATGGGTTCAACCCTTGTACCAACAGGACTGAAGACTGACAGGTTGGAGGTTTGAATCCAGGGAGAGCATGGATGAGCTCCCTCTATCAGCTCCTGCTCCCCATGTGGGGACATGAGAGAAGGCTCCCACAAGGATGATGAAACTTCAAAACATCCAGGCATCCGCTGGGCAACGTCCTTGCACTTGGCCAATTCTCTCACACCAGAAGCAACTTGCAGTTTCTCAAGTCACTCCTGGCAAGAAAAAAACACCCCTAACATTTTCTATATTTTGACTAGCTCCATTCTTGCACTTGAGAAATAGTATAATGTCTTTATTTGGTAGATTCTATTATTATCCAGCTTATTCAATGTTGGCCCCACCAACATTGCCATGTAATGCAGTTTCAAACTGCATCATGTGATCAGTGTATACTTGCATGCAGTTCAATGCAGTTAAACTGTATTATATTAGTTTACTCTGTCCCTATAATGCAGTTTCAAAATGCATTATACGGTAGTGTAGAGGGGGCCCAAGGTGAGTCCTTGGATAAAGGTGTAATACTGTATTAAAACTAGAAATCTCTATATGAAAAGCATGAACTCTGTTACTGAATGTTGTCCTCCTGCCCCGGAGTGTGGTGGAGGCTCCTTCTTTGGAAGCTTTTAAACAGAGGCTGGATGGCCATCTGTCAGGGATGATTTGAATGCAATATTCCTGCTTCTTGGCAGGGGGTTGGACTGGATGGCCCATGAGGTCTCTTCCAACTCTATCATTCTATGATTTTATGATTTTCCTCTGCAATGCTGGTACTGGATGCCCTAAGTAGGGCCCAATCCTGCAAACTTCTGGTCTGCATTTACAGGATACTGGCAACAATATAGATGTGGTTATCAATCTAATGTATTCTGAGTCAATATAAAGCTGTGGTTCCCAACCTGTGGTCCATGGACCACCAGTGGTCCCCAAGAACTAAAATATAGTCTGTAGCCTATATTACTATGCCATTGCAACGAGAGCGACTGGTCATGCGAAACCCTCTTATAGTGCCAAGGCAGCCGGGATGTCAGGAGGGGAGAAGTTGGCTACCCATGAAAGGTGTGACAACAAGCCTTGTGACTGCTCCTCCTCCTCCTCCCTCCCTCCCTCCCTCTGATTAGAGCCATTCCATGTGGTGCCTAAAAGCAGGGGCACCTTGGTGTCTTCGTATTTAGACCTGTTCCTGGGGTTATTTGGGGTGCTGATTCAGAAAATTGCATTGCATAGACCACAACAGCCCTAAGTTATTAAATACAGTTTTCTGTGGGTGAGCAGATGGTGACTACTGGATGGCATATGTTCTGTATCAGAAACTAGAGCTGCTGTGGTCTATCCAATGCAATTTTCGAATCAGCACCCCAAATAACCAAACCGAATCTAAAGTTGACCAAAAACTGATGTCGTACTCCAGAACAGGAACACCTCTGACTTGAAACACCATACCAGCTTGATAAAATCAGCAAACAGTTTATTATAGAATATATGTATGCAAAGCAGTAAAAAAAATAACAAAATCTGGCTACCAGTATTAAAAAACTCTAAAATTAAAACAGCAAAACAGCAGAGGGAAAACAATCAGGGACATCTAATCACCTCTCAACAATAATTTGCTTTAGGCACTGTCGGGCCATTATATGCTAATCAAGGTGGTCAATTGAAACATTCACACCTAGCTCCAGCAGACAAGAGTCCTTTGTCCCACCCTGGTCATTCCACAGATATATAAACCCTTTTCCTAGTTCCAACAGATTTCACTACCTCTGAGGATGCTTGCCATAGATGCAGGCGAACCATCAGGAGAGAATGCCTCTAGAACATGGCCATATAGCCCAAAAAAACCTACAACAACCCAGTGATTCCAGCCATGAAAGCCTTTGACAATACAGTAAAAAAATAATAAAATTGTAAAAGTCCAAAGACCAAGATAATCCATAAACTTTAAAAGGAAACTAGGTCCATTCGTACATAGAAATCCATGAAGCACTTGAAACCATGAAACCAAACAGCAGGAACTCCCAGGCAAAAACTTAAACTTGGCAACAACTTGATAGATGAAACATAGAGCACTTGAAATGCATAAATGTCATGAAATAATGTTGACTCGACCGAGACACTAGTCTCCCATGAATCATTATAAACCCTTTCCAAAGGTCGAAATTGACAGGAAAGCATTCTTTCTCACTTTCCCACTAGATAACGGTTTGTTATCTTTCTTTTGCCGTAAACGAGCAGAACGCCTGAGATTCTGAAAGTTCTGCCTCTGTTTACTAAAACTTTGCTTTCTGTCCAAGGTTTCACTCTCCTCTCCCTCTGCACCTGGCAAAGCAATCTCAGCATCATTTTCAGGCTGTTGCTCTGAGAAAAGTAGTGAAAGGTCTTTCCCAGGAATGTGGCCTTGCTCAGTCCTCTCTTCTGAACATAACTCCAGCCTGGACAAACCCACATCTCCAGGCGCATCATCAGGAACATCTTTCCCATCCCCATTATGGATCACAACATGAACATCATCATGAATATCATTCCCAACAGGAGCATCAGATAGAAACCCAGGCTAAACAGGCTGACATACAACATCCTTTTGGTACTAATGTTGGAGAGTAGTCCCTGGTACCACTGGGAACCACTGATATAAAGAATTCAACTAACTCTTTTGCCATTTCCTTGCCTTCGTTCTGTTTGTCTGTTGGCATGCCTTTAACAATCTTACCTTACTGACTTTTTCTCTAGGCAACTTTCAAAGGTTGGATGGACATCATGTATGCTGCAGTAGATTCTGGAGAGGTAAATTACAGCTTCATTCTTCTCTTACAGTTGATTATAATAAGCATTTTGGTTAATATAATCATATAATAGTACAGGCAGGCAGTCCCCTAGTTATGAACAAGATAGGTTCTGTAAGTTTATTCTTAAGTTACATTTGTGTGTGTGTGTGTGTGTGTGTGTGTGTGTGTGTGTGTGTGTGTATATATATAGTTTTGGATAGCATAGGGAAGAGTTACAACATAGGGCTGTAGCACAGCTGGTTAATCACCAGCTGCAATAGATCACTGCCAACCAGAAGGTGACAGGTTCAAATCCTGAGGCTGGTTGAACACCCAACTGTTAAGCCTAGCTTACTGTCCACCCAAGTAGTTCAAAAACAGCTGAGCTGTGAGTAGAGAAATTAGGAGCTGCTTAAAAGCACAGAGGTATTTACGACACCATAAAAATGCCAGTGGTCAAAGAGCAATGAGGAATTACGATCAAAATGCCTTAGCGTCATAGTGGGTGAAGTGACAGCTCCCCACTGTGACCGGAATCGAGTGTAACATCCAGGCACTGAAGTGGAAATGCCAAAAACACCTTAATCTGTCTCTCTGTGTAGAAAAAAGGTATTTAATGTTTGTTGTGTATGTGTTCATTGTGATCCACCCTGAGTCCCCTTTGGGGTGAGAAGGGTGGAATATAAACACAGTAAAATAAAATAAATAAAAATTAATTAACACCACTGTGGTGTTTATTTTGCTGTCTGTGCCCCTGTTTGGAAGATTTCACCTCACTTTCTATCCCTGTGATAATTGGATTTTAGAAAATTTGGTTTGTTGTGGAAAAAAGGATTGGTGATAAAGCTTCAGGGGAGACATCTTTTCCCCATGATAAGAGTGAATTTCCCTTCCAAGGGGAAGATGTCTCTCACTTCCTGTTCTCTTACCTCCGTTCTTAATTATGAATAATTTGTAAGTTGGATGTTTTCAGGGACTGTTTTCAATTTGTTTTCCCTGGCTCCTGCTATTTGATGTTTCATTCATCTTTCAATGTGTTTTTCAATTCTGCAGACAGAACACCAGCCCAAATTCGAAAACAACCAATATATGTACCTCTATTTTGTGATATTTATTGTCTTTGGATCTTTCTTCACTCTGAATCTTTTTGTTGGCGTCATCATTGACAATTTTAATCAGCAGAAGAAAAAGATAAGTATCCAGAAAGTTTTCCTGTCTTCCTATTTCCACTGAAGGGTCAAAAGAGAGTGATATCTTATATGGGACAAGCCTTTGTTACTGAAAGATTATGTCTGCTTTTGCGGTACCCTATCCATCCATCCATCCATCCATCCATCCATCCATCCATCCATCCATCTATCTATCTATAAGCTGGACCATCCATCCATCCATCTATCTATCTATAAGCTGGACCAGTCAACTCCCACAATTCCTAACACCCTCAGGCCCTGAGGCCCTTGCCTGAGCTAGACTTATTAATTTCTTCCCAAGAGAAAGTTAGGAATTTGGCATTACGCTAAATGTCCTTTGACCAGAAGCTGGCCACTTGGAGTGCCTCTGATGTTGCTGTGAGAAGGTCCTCCACTGTGCATGTGGCAGGGCTCAGGTTGCATTGTAACAGGTGGTCTGTGGTTTGCTCTTCTCCACTCACATGTCATGGACTCCACTTCATGGCCTCATTTATGAAGATTCATGCTGCTAGAACGCAATCTGTTCAGTACCCTCCAAATCACCCAGTCTTCTGTGTACCCAGGAGGAAGTCTCTCATCTGGTATCAGCCACTGTTTGAGGTTCTGGATTTTTTTCCTGCCACTTTTGGACTCTTGTTTGCTGACGTGTTCCTTCAAGTATCTCTGTAGATCTTAGAAAGCTATTTCTTGATTTAGGGTGTTAGTGTGTTGGCTGATATCCGAGCAGAGGATGGGCTGGAGATGTCAATGCCTTGGTCCTTTCATTACTGGCTGCTACTTCCCGACAGATATCAGGTGGTGCAATACCAGCTAAACCAGTGGTGTTGGGTGTAGACATCCTGTGATAATGTGGCATATCTCAATAAGAGCCACATCCACTGTTTTAATGTGGTGAGGTGTATTCCACACTGGGCATGCATATTCAGCAGCAACGTAGCAAAGCGCAAGGGCAGATGTCTTCACTATGTCTGGTTGTGCCAGTCAGCTTTCATGTGCAGAAATGACTTGCAGCATGTAAATCAATAAAAATAAAAATGGAGTAGAAACCTATATGGAGAGATGCTTTTCTACTGATGCAGCCCAAGGCTTGAAAAAGCACATTATTGGTCCCAGATGTTCATGCCCAAGATGATTTCTTAGCACCCCTCCTGGGATATTTGTTTTCAGACATGTATAGTATAAATAGCAATGATCACACCATAAAGACATAGAACGTTCTTTAAAAGGTGTACATTGATTTTAAAAGTGACTTATTTTGTAAATTGGGGAGCAGCAATTGATGGATGTTGATTTGTGCCGAATGACCTACATCTATAGCTCTCCAATCTGACAATCCAGCACCAGTTTTGGCTTACTATGGAACTTTTGGTGTCTCCAGCAAGACCTCTGCTCCATTCTGGATATAACAAGGCAAAACCCAAAGCACTTAAATTCAAAGATAAGGAGCAATAAAGTTGGGATTGCTTTCTCCATATATAAATAAAACCAATCAGTAATAATAATAATAATAATAATAATAATAATAATAATAATAGTCTTGTCTCTTTGTACTTTGGTGGAGAAGACATCTTCATGACAGAGGAACAGAAAAAGTATTATAATGCCATGAAAAAACTGGGATCTAAGAAGCCTCAAAAACCCATCCCAAGACCTTTGGTGAGTAATACTCTCCAGCAGTTCCTCCATATAAATTGTGTGCAAGAGAACAATGCTGTAAAAATATTAAAAAAGGTATAGTTGTCAATTAGTTACAGTGGATGGATAGATGATTTTGTTGGTGGGTGGATGCGGAATATACAAATGGAGGTAAATGATATTTTTGGGACAGTGCATTGGTTTTTGAGTCCTGTTTGGTTCTCACATTTCAGTGGGGATGTGACAATATTCAATGTGGGATTTCCTTCTAAGGGCCCTTCCACGCTGCTCTATATCCCAGAATATCAAGGCAGAACATCCCACAATATCTACTTTGAACTGGGTTATCTGAGTCCACACTCAGATAATGTGGGAACTCAGATAATGTGGGATTTTCTGGCTTGATATTCTGGGATATAGGGCTATGTGGAGGGGCCCTAAGAATCAGGGAGAGAGATCCATTGCATTGGAAATGAAGGCAAGCAATACCTAGAACAAACAACCTGTTCTCTAGCATGGCTTTACCTTATCAGTTTACTTACAGACGGAGAGGGGCAAAAAAGAAGTCTCTTTGAGGTGAAGGCTGCCTTTCTTTATGCAATGCATTAAATTCACAAGATGTTTCTTTCAAGGTACATCCACATTGCAGAATAAATGCCGTTTGATACCACTCTAATTGCCATGGCTCATTGCTATAGGATGATGGGAGGTGTAGGTTTAGAAGGCCTTTATTCATCTCTCTCAAAGAGTGCTAGTGCTTCATCAATCTACAACTCCCAGGATTCCATAGCACTGAGCAACAGCAGTTCACTGGGATCAAACTGCATCCATACAACAGTGTAGATGCATCCACCATAAGCCATTTTAAGCAGCAGTCGAAAAAAACCCACAAACTATAGCACCACCCAATAAATTCTTAAAGTTTTGTGGATGAAAAACAGTCTGTATGTCACGATAAGATGTCAAAACAGGGATTTTTTTTCATGTCAGGAGCAACTTGAGAAGCTGCAAGTTGCTTCTGGTGTGAGAGAATTGGCCGTCTGCAAGGACGTTGTCCAGGGGACACCCGGATGTTTTGATGTTTTTTTTACCATCCTTGTGGGAGGCTTCTCTCATATCCCCGCATGAGGAGCTGGAGCTGATAGAGGGAGCTCATCCGTGCTCTTCCTGGATTCGAACCTGTGACCTGTCAGTCTTCAGTCCTGCCAGCATAGGGGTTTAACCCACTGTGCCACCGGGGGCTCCAACAGGGATACAAGGGCCCTATGCACCTTATGACACTGTGTTGTCCTCTGCAGATAACAATTGTCCTATATGAACAATCGCCCGCATAGGAACTGTTCAAAAGGTTGCTAGATCACTTAAATCTGAAAGTCATTGAAGTTTTAAAAATCAGAGTAGATACAAAAGGGTGACTAAAATGATCAAGGGTCTCGAGAACAAGCCCTATGAGGAGTGGCTTAACGAGCTGGGCATGTTTAGCCTGAAGAAGAGAAGGCTGAGAGGAGATATGATAGCCATGTATAAATATGTGAGAGGAAGTCATAGGGAGGAGGGAGCAAGCCTGTTTTCTGCTTCCTTGGAGACTAGGACGCGGAACAATGGCTTCAAGCTACAAGAAAGGAGATTCCATCTGAACATGAGGAAGAACTTCCTGACTGTGAGAGTCATTCAGCAGTGGAACTCTCTGCCCCGGAGTGTGGTGGAGGCTCCTTCTTTGGAAGCTTTTAAACAGAGGCTGGATGGCCATCTGTCAGGGTTGCTTTGAATGCAATATTCCTGCTTCTTGACAGGGGGTTGGACTGGATGACCCATGAGGTCTCTTCCAGCTTTATGATTCTATGATTCTATGAAAATGAAATATAATTTATTGACTTGTTTGAACTTGGAAGGACACTGTAATTTCAATTGAGATTTAGGAGTTCCACATCAGACCCTAAACACTATTTCAACCCTTCCTTCTCCAGAACAAATACCAAGGATTCATTTTTGACATTGCAACCCACCAAGCCTTTGATATCAGCATCATGGTCCTTATCTGCCTTAACATGGTCACTATGATGGTGGAAACAGATGAACAATCTGCAGAGAAGACATACGTTCTTAGCAAAATCAATGTCCTCTTCATCACCGTCTTCACAGCAGAGTGTGTCATGAAGCTTGTGGCTCTGAGATACTACTATTTCACCAATGGATGGAACATTTTTGACCTGGTTGTTGTGATCATGTCAATTGTTGGTAAGTAGCTGCACAGCAATGTCCTTTTGTCTAATTTTGGGTAAGCTCAGAAGGAAGCACATTAAACTCTAAAATTACAACAGACAGGAAACAATCTGGGACATCTAATCACCTCTCAACAAAAGATTGCTCCAGGCACTAGCAAGCCACACCAAACAACTACCAGGCCATCAAATGCTAATCAAGGTGGTCAGTTGCTACATTCACACTTAGCTCCAACAGACAAGAGTTCTTTGTCCCACCCTGGTCATTCCACAGATATATAAACCCTTTTTCCTAGTTCCAACAGACCTCACTACCTCCAAGAATGCTTGCCATAGATGCAGGCGAAACATCAGGAGAGAATGACTCTAGAACATGGCCATATAGCCCGAAAAAACCTACAACAACCCGCATTAAACTTTCTTTTTAATCATTTACTTGTGGCGGAATGAAAATCACACGTAGTTCACGTCTTTACCAATTCGCACATGACTTGCTAGAGAAAAGATATGCCATTAGATGATCTTAAGAGATGGAACTAAAATGCTTACATTTGGCTAGCCTACATGCCAAACTATTAATCACTGCATAATCTTTAAAAACAAAAGTCACTAGAAACATATAGATAGGAGGAACAATAATGCTAGCAACAATATGGCACTGCGATGATTTATTTATTTGCGTTGTTGTAGGTTTTTTCGGGCTATATGGCCATGGTCTAGAGGCTTTCTCTCCTGATGTTTCGCCTGCATCTATGGCAAGCATCCTCAGAGGTAGTGAGGTAGTGAACCCAGTGATTCCGGCCATGAAAGCCTTCGACAATACATTTATTTATTTATTTATCATGTCAGAAGTGAATTGAGGGTACAGTTATAATGTATTTAAAAGCACAAACAGAGTAAAAACTTGGCATTGTGCTAAATGTCCTTTAGCCAGAAGCTGGCCACTTGGAGTTTCTGTGGTGTTACTGTGAGAAGGTCCTCCATTGCGCATGTGACAGGGCTCAGGTTGCATCGAAATAAGTGGTCTGTGGTTTGTTCTCATCCACACTTGTATGTTGTGGATTCAACTTCATAGCCCCATTTCTTAAGGTTTGCTCTGCATGTCGTGGTGCCAGAGCGCAGCCTGTTCAGCACTTTCCAGGTTGCAATGGAAAATGAAAGAGGAAAAGAAAACTTATTTGTTTTGTTTCAACAATGAAGGGTTAGCCTGAAACATATTTGTCTTGAAGAACCATCTGTTCTCATGATGAAATTCAGGATTTTAATGATTGATTTCTCCTCTTTAGGTAGTGTACTTTCCGGCATTGTGGTTTCTTTCTCACCAACTCTTTTCCGGGTGATCCGTTTGGTGAGGATAGGACGAATACTCAGGCTCATCCGCTCTGCGAGAGGAATCCGCACCCTCCTTTTTGCTTTGATGATGTCCCTCCCAGCTCTGTTCAACATTGGTCTCCTGCTTTTCCTTGTCATGTTCATCTATGCCATTTTTGCCATGGCGAACTTTGCATATGTCAAAATGGAAGCTGGGATTGACGACATGTTCAACTTCAAGACCTTTGGGAACAGTATGCTCTGCCTTTTCCAAATCACGACGTCCGCCGGCTGGGATGGACTTCTCAGCCCCATTTTAAACACTGGCCCTCCCTTTTGTGACCCAAACCCCATTTCACAAAGAGGGGACTGTGGGAACCCTGCTTTAGGCATCATGTTCTTTGTTACGTACATCATTATAACCTTTCTCATAGTTGTGAACATGTACATTGCTGTTATTTTGGAGAATTTCAATGTTGCCACTGAAGAGAGCACCGAACCTTTAGGCGATGATGACTTTGAAATGTTTTATGAAGTGTGGGAAAAGTTTGACCCCCTTGCAACTCAATTCATCCCATATGCAAAACTTTCTGACTTTGCAAATACTCTGGCAGCCCCTCTGCGTATACCTAAACCAAACAAACTTGAGCTCATAACAATGGATCTCCCAATGGTGAGTGGGGACAGGATCCATTGCTTGGACATCCTCTTTGCTTTCACCAAAAGGGTGCTTGGAGACTCCGGAGAGATGGATACGCTTAAGGTGCAGATGGAGGAAAAATTCATGGCAGCCAATCCATCCAAGTCTTTTGAGCCTATCAGCACCACTCTCCAAAGGAAGTATGAGGAGATGGCTGCTGTCACGCTCCAGAGAGCATTTCGGAGTCACTTGCTTCAACGGTCCATGAAGCAGGCCTCGTTCTTACACCGACAAAAAACCAGCGATGGAGACATCCTCGAAGAAGATGCTCCGGAAAAAGAAGGCCTCATTGCACATCTCATGAATGAAAACTATATCAGCAGCCCTGACAAAACTCGAACACCATCCTTAGAATCCATCCCTCCATCCTACCATAGCGTTACTGGAGCCCTGGATGATGGTGCCAAGGGGGAAACATCCAGGGCTCTTGAGGAACCTAAAGATGGACATCTGTCTCCAAGGAAGGATAAGGAATCTGACATGTAGATGGGGTTTTTTTTGTTAAAGACACCTTCAAAATATGTTAAAACAGACACTAAACAAAAGCTATAACAGCCTGCAAAGGAATCTAAGTTGTACGCTCGAGATTATAGACATATACCATTTTTGACCATATGGCTCATTCTTTGATCTGCATGAGTAAGAATGTTCTGGTAAAGTCATTGTGACTTTCCATCAGGACTATCCCTTAGATCAGGCATGGGCAAACCTTCTAACTTGGGGGCTGCATGGTGGGCCGGAGCAAGGTGGGTGGGCCGGGGGGGGGGGGCTTCTCCCCAAGTCCCTTCCCTGCTTTTTCCTCCCCTTCCTCTTCTCTTCCAGAGGCAGAAAGTGAAGGAAAGACAGGAAACGTTTGGATCCCAAACAGGCTGGCCTTGGTCAGGATGAGATGGTGGACGGGAGAGAAGAAGTCTATCCATGAGACCCCATATTGCCTACTCCTGATATAGAATCCTAGAATCCTAGAGCTGGAAGAGACCCCCAAGGGTCATCCAGTCTAACCCCCTGCCATGCAAGAAGGCACAACCAAAGCACTCCCAATAGACTGCCTCTGCAAAAAAAGCCTCCAAAGAAGGAGATCCCACCACACTCCAAGGCAGCCTATGCCACTTTCCAACAGCTCTTACTCTCAGGAAGTTCTTCCTAATCCTTTCAGTCGAATCTCTTTCCCTGCCATTTGAAATGATTGCTTCCTTGTGCCCTGGTCTCTAGAGCAGCAGAAAGTCAGTCCCTTCACCTCAATGGGAGACTCTTTCAGATCTTGAAACATGGTTCTCATTTTCCCTCTATACCTTCTCTTCTCCCAGCTAAACATCCCCAGGAGGAAAGGAGGAATGAAAAAGAGAAGGAAGAAAGAGAAGGGCTGAAGGATTGAAAGAAGGAAGGGAAGGGAGGATGGAAGGAAGGAAGGAAGGAAGGAAGGAAGGAGAGAGAGAGAGAGGGAGGAAAGAGGGAAGGAAGGAAGGAAGGAAGGAAGAAAGAAAGAAAGAAAGAAAGAAAGAAAGAAAGAAAGAAAGAAAGAAAGGAGAAAGAGGAAGATGAGGAAGGAGGGAAAGAGAAGGATGGAAGGATAAGATGGTTAGAGAGAGCGGGGGGCTGAGAAAAGATCTTCATCTGGCCCCCAAGCCTGGGTTTGCCCATAACTGCCTTAGATCCAGAAACCCATCAAGGTAAGGATGGAGCAATTCTCTTCATGTAACAAAATGGATTTGTGGATAAATAGATGGTCACTCTCCAGTCTCCATTGAACAAGACTCCAGCTCCTTTTGGACTGTAAATAAAGGGCTCAGACACTGGAGCATGGGGATCATGAAGAAAAATGATTGCTAGCAGATTTATCTAGTTGGACCCCACAGGCAATACTTTGTTAGGCCTAATTTGCTTTGAATGGTTTCTTTAGCCAACAAAAGGTGTGAGTTTAAATGAATTTATTTTGATACAATTCCAAACAGCTATAGGTTAAGTTGAAGTAGCAGGGAGACCACCTTCTTCATCACTGTCTTACAGTATAGTATAGAAAGTTATAATTTATTAAGTAATTTAGAAAGCTACAGAAAAGTTAAACTAACTGGAAAGCTGGCTATATGTCAATGCATTATTATTATTATTATTATTATTATTATTATTATTATTATTATTATGAAGCCTCTGGTGGTGCAATGGGTTAAACCCCTGTGCCAGCAGGACTGAAGACCCACAGGTCGCAGGTTTGAATCCGGGGAGAGGTGGATGAGCTCCCTCTATCAGCTCCAGCTCCTCATGCGGGGACATGAGAGAAGCCTCCCACAAGGATGATAAAACATCAAATCATCCGTGCATCCCCTGGGCAACATCCTTGCAGATGGCCAATTCCCTCACACCAGAAGCAATTTGCAGTTTCTCAGGTCGCTCCTGACACGACAAAAAATATTATTATTATTATTATTATTATTATTATTATTATTATTACACAGCAAACAAGATCACTATGATCACATGTCAGACAATTCCCAAGTGTCTTGGACTGTGTGATGTATTGGCGAATAATGTGTGCAGATCCGAGTAGGGTGGCCTTTTGTAGCTGACAGATGGTAAATTTTGTCTGCGCCGATTGTTTTTAAGTGCTAGTCAAGGTCTTGAGGCACAGCACCTGGTGTGCCGATTACTACTGGGACCACCTTGACTGGCTTGTGCAATTTGATCTTTAAATCCTCGTATCATGTAAGCATTTCCAGTTGCTTCTCATCAATTCTGCTGTCATCTGGGATTGCAACATCGACAATCCATACTTTGTATTATTATTTTACTGACACAAAAACACAGTATAACACAGCAAACGATATATATATATATATTAGATTTCATATCACAAAATTATAAGTCAAACACTTCCCAAGCGTTTAGGACTGTGTGATATATTTTCGAATGATCTGCGCAGATCCAAGTAAGGTGGCCTTTTGCAGTTGGCAGATAATTATTTTGTCAGTGTTGATTGTTTCCTTATTATTATTATTATTATTATTATTATTATTATTATTATTATATTGTTTATATTAATGGATTTTTTTTAGATGAAACAAAAACTAATAATCAATGATCCAAGGAACTTACAATGTAGCTATTGCATGATTTGCTGATATGACACCTTCTACTGGAAATATGACAACCATACTTTGAATTACCATGACGTGTATATATGATTGTCACCATGTTACTTGCCATTGCTATGAATAATAAACAGACCAATTAATGTTCCAGATCTTTATTGCTTAGCTAAGGACTATCATAAATAGTAACTGGAAACACTTAGTTAAATACCTGATTAAAAAACAAAAATAAGCTGTTTTATTTTTAAAATGGGAACAGATCTTTGTAATCAGGGTATTTTTCACATCCTAAGGATATAATTCATTAGAGCAGCATTTCTCAACCTGGGGGTCGGGACCCCTGAGGGGGTCGCGAGGGGGGTGTCAGAGGGGTCACCAAAAACCATCAGAAAACACAGTATTTTCTGTTGGTTGTGGAGGTTCAGTGTGGGAAGTTTGGCCCAATTCTATCCTTGGTGAAGTTCAGAATGCTCTTTGATTATAACTGAACTATAAATCCCAGAAACTACAACTCCCAAATGTCAATGTCTATTTTCCTCAAACTCCACCAGTGTTTACATTTGGGCATATTGAGTAGTCATGCCAAGTTAGGTCCAGATCCATCATTGTTTGAGTCCACAGTCCTCTTTGGATTTACGGGAACGACAACTCCAAAACTCAAGGTCAGTGCCCGCCAAACCCCTTTCAGTGTTTTTTCTTGGTCATGGGGGTTCTGTGTGGGAAATTTGGCCCAATTCTATCATTGGTGGAGTTCAGCATGCTTTTCAATTGTAGGTTAACTATAAATCCCAGCAACTACAACACCCAAATGACAAAATCAATCCCCTCCTCCAACCCCACCAGTATTCAAATTTGGGCGTATGGGATATTTGTGCCAAATTTGGTCCAGTGAATGAAAATACATTCTGCATATCAGATATTTACATTACAATTACAGTTATGAAGTAGCAACGAGAATAATTTTATGGTTGGGGGTCACCACAACATGAGGAACTGTATTAAGGGGTCGTGGCATTAGGAAAATTGAGAACCACTGCATTAGAGTATCATGTTTCTAAATAAGATCTCCACAAGAAGGGCTTGAACTGCCAAGGCATGCAGTTGAAGACTTTGCAAATGTTATCCAGAACCAAAGGATTCAAACTTGGTATGTCAATAACAGTTACATTACTACCTCATTCAGGTCCGTCGGAACGGCATTGATCAGACGCATTAGCCATATTAAGGCTTGTAAATCTTATCTTGGTTGATCCCTTCCTAGACAAGAAAGGACAGGAGTTGATATCTTTTGAGTAATTTCAGCGGAAAATCATCCATCATAATCTCATCAGAGGTCATTCTGATTGCATCTATTGATATCCAAATTGGAACATACTGTAACAGAAATTGCCACAGGAAGTCTTCAGACTGACCCTCCTCCCTATGCCTTCCCTTCACATCTTGATCCATGGCCCTCATCATGTCTCCTCTCAGCCTTCCCTTCTGCAGGCTAAACATGCCCAGAGATTGCTGTACATATACATGTAGTGAGTCCTTTAAAAACACCCAACAGAAATCAGTTCCATGCTCAAATTTCTCATTTGCTGCTTTCATCCTGCATTAAGTGGTTAGTGTAGATGTGCCCAAGAACAGAGAAGAAAGTATGGTGGTTTCTCTCTTGCATTTTGGGGACTTTTTTGCTCCTTTTTTGTATACAGGCAAGTGGTTGCAGATCAGTTTAAAGGAGAGGAGATTAAGCCTCTTGTAGTGGGTTAAAGCACTGAGCTGCTGAACTTGCTAACCAAAAGGCCGCAGGTTTGAATCCGGGGAGCGGTGTGAGCTCTCACTGTTAGTCCCAGCTTCTGCCAACCTAGCAGTTTGAAAACATGCAAATGTGAGTAGATAAATAGGTACCGCTCTGGTGGGAAGGTAATGGCACTCCATGCAGTCATGCTGGCCATATGACCTTGGGGGTGTCTATTGATAATGCTGGCTCTTCTGCTTAGAAATGGAGATGAGCACCACCCACCAGAGTCAGAAACGACTGGACTTAATGTCAGGGGAATATCTTTACCTTTACCTATCCTTCCTGAAGTCCAGCCTTCAAGTTTTTCAGTGATTGGTTTGGGGGGGGGGGTGCCAAAATACTGTTTGCTTACACTTGAAAATTACCTAGGGCCGGCCCTGCTCATTCCTTAGAGTGGTATCTTCAGCCCATTTGGCCACATTCGTACGCCTTTCATACAATCTCACTCAAATCATAACAATTGTTGGCTCATGTTCACCTTCCTGTCCATGAGGACTCCATGAGGACTCCAAGATCTTTTTCACACGTACTGCTCTCGAGTAAGGTGTCCTCCCTTTCTGTTTCTTTGCATTTCATTTTTTTCTGCCTAAATGAACTATCTTGCATTTGTCCCT